TGTACATCCTTGGGGAATGAACTAGCAGATGGGCACTTTCTCTATCTCCCTGTTGCTCAAATTTTAAACAAAAAAAAAATTCTTTCTCTTAATGATATGATCTCTCATTACTCTTCTCTTAGAGAAATATTCAAACCAGAAACTTCTTTTATACAAGTTTTCCTTTTTTAAGATGACCATTAAAACTCTCCTATTATTTAATGATGGAATAAATAAATTTTTTAATTTTATTTTTAGTTGAAAGAGTAATGTGTTATTTCAGTGGATTCAGTGTGTATTATGTCATGCAGTGATTAAGGAAAAGTAACATATCCATCACCTCAAATATTTATTATTTGTTTAGGTTTAGAACATTTAAAAATGTTTGTCTTTTTTTTTTTTTTTTTTTTGACAGAGTGGACAGTGAGAGAGACAGAGACAGAGAGAAAGGTCTTCCTTTGCCGTTGGTTCACCCTCCAATGGCCGCCGCGGCCGGCGCGCTGCAACCAGCGCACCGCGCTGATCCGATGGCAGGAGCCAGGTACTTATCCTGGTCTCCCCTGGGGTGCAGGGCCCAAGCACCTGGGCCATCCTCCACTGCACTCCCTGGCCACAGCAGAGAGCTGGCCTGGAAGAGGGGTAACCGGTACAGAATCTGGCGCCCCGACCGGGACTAGAACCTGGTGTGCCGGCGCCGCAAGGCGGAGGATTAGCCTAGTGAGCCGCGGCGCCGGCCTGTTTCAGTCATTTTGACACATATATTATTACACCTATAGTCACCCTGCTATGCAACAGAACCCCTCCTACTTAACTGTAACTTTACAACTCATTGACCAACATCTCCTTTGCTCCAACCACACCCTCTTCCTACCTCTGGGAATCACCCTTCTACCCTCCGTTTCTATGAATTCAACATTCTTAGATTCCACTTAAGTGACATGAGGTGGTATTTGTTTCACTTAACATAAATGTCTTCTAGGTTCATCCACCCATTTTATGCAAGTGACAGAATTTTCTGCTGCTGCTTTTTTCATTAAAGCTGAACAGTGGAATAAGTAATTTGGAACAACTTCCTGACTGTGATCAATTAGAAATGCTGGACAAGAGGCAGACAGACACAAGCAGCAATCTGCAGACACCCGGCCAGCAAGACAGCGCGTCAAGGAAGAAGAGACGCTGGCAGGGGACAACTCTGCTTGACTCACACAGACACAATCTGCCCACTTTCAATCGACCTCCCTGATAATGTACCTGGAAATCAGGGAAAGAGGGCCTAAACGCTTGGAACCCTGCCACCCACGTAAGACACCTGGAGGGAGCTCCAGGCTCCTGGCTTTGGCCTGGTCCAGCCCCAGCCATTGTGACCTTTTGGGGAGTGAACCAATGGATGGAAGATTCTCTCTCTCTTTCCGTCCCACTCTAATTCTGTCTTTCAAGTAAATCGGTCAAAGGGTAGAAAGTGAAATGGCAAAGAAGAATGTAGAAGAAAATCTGGAATGAAATCAGGAGATGCAGGGGACAGGATAGAGGGAAACCACAACACATAGGCACAAAAGTGAAGGATGATACACTCAATGGTGTCCCCAGCAACAGAGACGTGAGGACACAAATAACCCCCAAGAAGCATCCTGCGGCCTCCACAGAACATCACCACCAACTACAGAGAACCACCGCCACAGCCGAACCACGGAGCACTGAGGGTGTGAACACGCCACGCTCAGGACCTGACAGCAGTCTGGCTGTTCTTGCAGGTTGGCGCATCCTCTCCTGGGCCATATCTTCCTTCAGGCCTGGGCTATGTGAACCACAGGTCAACCCTCCTCACCTGCGTGCCTTCTAACTCTGCACACTCCTGTACACAGAATTCAGAATTAACAGCTCGTCTCATCGAGCCTGTTCTGCAGAGCTGCTGAGACAGCACATGTCCCAGATGGAACCCTAGAATTAAGATTAAAAAAGAAAGGACCATCAGGCCCTGAGACACATCTGTTTCTAGCCATTTCTGAAACGACAGAAACAGCATGGAAGCGAGCTCTCACACAAAAACACAAGGACGTTAATCCTACACTCCATACATTGATATTCTCCATTTCAGCAGAGGCATGTACTTCAGTAGTGAGCTGACAAGTGATATTCCTTTGTGTTTATCAACATTACAATCCAATAACAATACTTTTTAAAAGGAAATATCAATTGTTGTGCCTAATAAAATCTAACTCTTTAATATAGACTTCTATCAAATCATGACTATGATGGAAAGTTTTAAATTTCAGTGTATCACTGTTTATCTTGAAATCTAACAAGGAACAAACATAGGAGAAAAGGAAATGACTGAGGTAGTCACAGAACCCTTAAGCCCAATACTGTACTTGTAAGTTATGGGTCAAAATCTTAGCTCACCAAGTCAATCCTTCCACATATCCACAGATTTTTCAATACTAGAGAATTAAAGTTAGTGTTTTAGTGGACATAAGATGTCCACAGAAACTCCTTTCCATATTTCCACCTTAAAAAGATCTCAAACTATCAGGAAACCTTGCTTTGTAATCTAAAATTGCATTAAGGATATGCATCATTTGTCCTTCCAACCTGTTAAGTGATAAATGATGACCTTTCACTTCTTTCTATTCTGTATATTTGTCCTTTTGAAATACTTAAAATGAAACAAATGCTTATGAGATGTGTTGAGAAAAAAACCTAAGTTCTTTCAGGGTAAATTATTTGTTAAAACTACACTTATGTCCCTAAGAGCTTTGCTCCATGTTAGATTCAATTTAAGGAGTTTTGTTTTGAAGCCTGTTGGCCAGGGTCTACGCCAAATTATGGACCTCAGGAAGTGTGGGGATGTGGACCAGAATCATTCTAGGTGATTCCACATGCAACCCAGTTCAGAGGCCCCACCCTGGAGATGATCTCCTTTAGAGAAAAGGCTGCGTGTGGACCAGAGTAAGAAACAGAGAAGGTAGAATGTCATGGGAAAGAAAGGAAACCCAGGTCTCCTGCCTTCTGTTGGAAAACACAGTACCTAATAAGGTGAACTATGTCTGCTCTCTGAGTTTCCTCCCTGTAGGAGGGGGCACTGACCTCGAAGGGTGGCTGTCACATGAACCTCCCCTAGGAGATGTTCACCCAGGGGGCCATGGGGCCAGTGAGTCTGCATATTTAAAAAGTAAGTCTTCATGCAGAACCCAAAGTAATGGATCCTTTTCAGCTCCAATGTTGCGCTATTCTAGATTGTGGGGAAGAAGGTATTTTTAAACAACTTTTGACCCTCGGCATGTCACCTGAGGGCAGATATGCAGTGGTATGTGTGTGATTTTGTATTTGGTTATCCTCTTTGACCAGTTATCTTTCTACTAACATGCACAACTATGACGCCATGACCTTACATTTGTGTTGCATTTATCACAGCACAACAATCCCACCAGGGAAGCCTGTTTCTAGCCCCAGGCTTCTCTACAGGCCCAGCCACCAAGTCAAGGGCTACTCAGGCAGCAGGCAGCAAGGTCAATGTCAGAAATATTAATTTCCGCTGTGATAAATAAGGAAGTCAAATTTCTCATCTTTTGATCAGACAGAATGGAGCACCCCTGTGGTGACAAGTCACTCAGCAATAAATATTTACTGAGTACTTTGTTTTTTCTCTAAACGCCAGGTTTAACACAATCACTGGAGCAACAGAGGTGCATGGGGTGCAACTGCTTCCTTGAGAAGACCAGAAGCAGGGAGGGCAGCAAGCAGGTAAACTGTCACTTAAAGTGGGAGGGGGTCGGGCAGAGCTGTGGGGTGAGCAGCGAGGGACACCCAGTAAGTACTGGTTAAATGCCTATCTGGAAGGCTTTTACCCTTTCTACCCAAGGAAATAGATGCAGTGGCCACGCAGCAATGAGAAAGAAGACTGGCCAACAGAGAAATAAAAACATCAACTTGGCCACAGGCATCAGCAGCATTCTACAGAGGGCACGCTGGCAGGGAGGGAGGCCCCAGGCAGGCTCCTGAGTCATCACTCAGGCCTGCCGAAGGCCTGGGAGTCGCTCACATTACTAATATGCTATGTGGCCTCGACCATTTCTCCCCTTGCAATCTGCTGCTCGGTCCGAAACGCGGCTACCTTCCAGTTTTTGCTCCATTTTCCCTGAGACAAAACAGAAAGCTCCAGGAAAGCATCTAAGTTTCTTTCTACAAGTGACAACAGACTGTTTAGTCATAAAGGCTTTTCCACCACTGCCCACCCTGGAGCTAAGGTGCTGTGTTGCCATTCCCTGCCCCAGGCTGGACACAGGTGCCCTCTGCTTGGGCCACCAGTTGGGAGCTCAACACCCATTTCCTAGAAGGGCTGTTCTTTCCACTTCTAGCTCTCTAGCACTAGTTTTGCCCTTATCATTTTGAATTCAGGTTTCACTACATTATACATCTGTGGCCTCAATAAAACGAGGCACAAGATAATATTAAATGATGAATTTTGAACTTAAGCAATGAAGCAAATGTTGGAGAATCAAAAAAAATCAGAAATCACCCTTACATTGTTCGTATAAGCCTATCCTGGGATAGGAGGATTTTTTTTTAGAGAGAAAGGGCTGGGTTTTAAATCCAAAACCATAAAGGAATGGGTGCCCCCAAGTGTTAGCACAGAAAGCATTCACTTAATGGCCAGAGGTCAAAGCTTGTTGGTTGACGAAGTAAAGATGGTTGGATTCTTTACCTCCTACCTAGTAAACATTTATTCAGATTATAAAACGGCAACACTGCTGGCACAACCAACGCTCTCTGCTCAACAGAGGCTGCAGGCATTTTAGAAGCCAGAAATGTACTGGCAAAGTGACATGAGAACGCTTGGTTGGTCTGTTTGCAGTAACTGCCCTGCCTGCAACCCGTGACCTGTTTTCTATTCAGAGTTTTCCAGCATTCACCCATCACCAGTTCTTAAAGCAAAACTCACGTCGAACAGACTGTTTTTTAACCCGGAGTAGAACATCAGATGCAGCAGCATTTACAAGTGTAGAGTATGTTTTCACACTAACCTTCTTGCCTTTCCCACTTGTCTTCGACTCCTCCTGATGTTTAATGAGGTGCTTAGAGCCTTCGCATGATGTGTGACCTAAATTATCATGTCTTCTTGGTCCATTTTCAACACCTAAAACCCAAGTGGATTGAAGGTTAGAGTTTTACATGAACTGAACACTAATGCAATTTAAGCAAAACAATTATTAAAAACAACATTTCTTTAAGCACAGTGGTAGCAGGAAAGTATGGGTTTCTTAATTAAACACTCATGCTTCTTGACCTTTGAGACCTACTTAGAATTTTCAATTGCAAACTTCACTATCCCAACTAATTCCTTAACTCAACAGTCAGAACCAATTTTGCCTGTCAGGTTACAATGTCCTGGGTTGTCACATTTGTCCATTTAATAATGCAACAAAACATGTGCCTACACCTCATGTACTGGAACAGCCTGGCGGCCCAGTCCCAATCACTAGCAAGCAACAGTTAAGACAGGGTGCCCACCCCCCTTGCTTCACTTACCAACAAATATGGTGATCAGGGTTAACCCATGGGAGATGCAGAAGACACAAGATACTGTCCTATTTTTTTTTTTTAAGATTTTTATTTATTGATTTGAGAGGTAGCGTTATAGACAGAGAGACAGAGAGAGAAAGGTCTTCCTTCTGTTGGTTCACTCCCCAAATGGCCACAACAGCCAGAGCTGTGTCGATCCGAAGCTAGGAGCCAGGTGCTTCTTCCTGGTCTCCCATGCAGGTGCAGGGGCCCAAGGGCCATCCTCCACTGCCTTCCCAGGCCATAGCAGAGAGCTGGACTGGAACAGGAGCAACTGGGACTAGAACCAGCGCCCCTATGGAATTCCGGCACCACAGGTGAGGATTAACCTACTGTGCCATGGCACTGGCTCCAATACTGCCCTATTCTTAGGGAGTTCACAAGCCAATACACAATATTGTTACAAATACATATAATACAAGGCAAAAATGATGTCAGTGCCCTTAAACATTAAAAATCAAATCCTATCACAAAGATTGCTTTGCAGATAAGATGCTATGATTGAAATGATGAAATCAGATAAAAGCAGTTCAGGGGATCTGATTTGAAAATTTCCCCTCTAAAAAAATAAATAAATAAAAAGCAAAATGACAGTTCAATATTTTCTTGAATTCAAATTAGTTCTTTGTAAGCAGGGCCCGAGAAATACTTGAAGGTTGGCTTCTGAACGACAAACCAACACTGTGCCTCTAAATCCTATTCCTGGATCCCACCGGAGACCCAACCAGTCACACACGGATCACCGCACCACCTCAGCAGTCATTTTATTTCCCTCCTCTCCATTCTAATCATCGTTGGCACACACTCACATTTTGCTTCTTCCCATTTTATTTCAGTGATAAATGACTGTCCAACCACAATGAGCTCAGCTAGGTAGACTAAGACAGCCGGATTGGAGCAAGTGGGTGAGCAGGCCATGACATGGCAGGTATTTTCTTCTAAGTTTGTCAATTTTACTCACCCTGAAGGTAAAATTATCGATTTATCATTTATGCATTAGCTTTTAACATTCTAATTTTCAATATTCCTAAAGTACTCCTAACATCTAGGGTAAGATAAAAATGGAACCTGTTTTTCATGTTTAAATCCAAAATTGAAAAGTAATTAATTACAATTCACATTCGTTGGGGCCAACATTGTGGTGCAGTGGGCTAAGCCACCAACTGGAATGGCAGTGTCCCATATCTGAGTGCTAGTTCAAGTCTCAGCAGCTCCACTTGTGATCCAGCTCCCTGCTAATGTGTGTGGAAAGGCAACAGACAGCCCAAGTACTAGAGCTCCTGTTATATGCACTGGAGGCCCAGAGAGCTTCTGGCTCACCCAGACCTAGGTGTTATAAGCACTGGGGAGTGAGCCTGCTGATAGGTCTGTCTCTCTGCCTTTCAATATACCTTTTTAAAAATTTATATTATTTGTATATACTGTACATGATTTTCTTTTTAAAATTCAAATATTTTCTTAAAGCAAGAATGTATGAAAATAAGAGAAACATGGACTAAAATAAATTTGGAATGCAATGCTCTCTGGTGATCAGGTCATGATTAAGTCTGCAGATTCCTAGTGGATTCAAACAAGGTTTACAGCAACCACTTGTCTATGTTCTTGCCAAACAATGAAGCAGGTTGTAAAGTCTTCTATAAACAAAGCTCCAGGAAGCGCATCATAACCTTTTAAAACTTAAGACTGATATTATTAGTGACATACTTTCGCAAGCCATGCTGTCACAAAATGGAAAAAAAGTCAGTTATTCCATAACTATTTAAAATATTTCAAAAACTAACAAAAACTTACTAATATGCCTTAAGGATGTTTATAGGTAGTTAGTTGCAAAGTCACCCTGCAATCACTGTGTCCAGAGCAGTCAGGGACACATCTCGTGCTGGTTGGTGGACACGTCTGCTCCCCCACCTTTCTGGCTTCCACGCCCCTCAAGTGACTCTTGGTGTTTGCCCTGTAAGTGCTGCAGTTTGGTGCCTGTCATTGGTTCTAGTCTTATTCCGCAAGGTGACTTCATTATTGGCCATAAAGCCTTCTATGACTCAAGAGTCCTAATTCTGTATATCTCATCCAGGCTTCTGACTGGTGGGATACTGCTGGATACACCCAACTACCTAATACACATCTATCTTTAATGTCTCAGGAATTTCTACCAACCCTGCAGCCGCTCTTCCTCCAACATACCAGTCTAATCAGTGCGGTTTTCAGCTTGGGCTATGGGAATGGAATACAACAAACTGCGTGGCTTGAACACAGTAACTTATTCTCTCAGTTCTGAATGCCGGGAAGCGTGAGCTCCAAGGACCAGCAAGGCTGGGTTCTGGTGAGCACTCTCCCTGGCTTGCAGACGGTCACCTCCTCACCAAGTCTTCACAAGGCAAAGACAGGAAACAAGCTTTCCACTGTCTCTATTTTGTTCACAATGGCATGAATCTCATTTAAGCCTAATCATCTCCCAATGACCTCTTCTCCAAACACCACTCTGTTGGAGCCCAGGGCTTCGACTTGGATCTGAGAGGGGAGTTTGGCATAGCTCAGCCCACAGGTTTTCCCTATCAAAGCCATATATCCTGGCTCTCTCTCATTTTCACTCTAACTTCATCGGACTGGCAGCCTGCTGAGATTTCACAAAATGAACACACAGACAGCAAAGAACCTATGAGCCCCAGAATTATACAGCCTAAAATTTCACTTTCGAAGTTTGTTTCTGCTAACATTATCATCAAAATATAAACATATCAAGGCTAGTAGAAAATAGCCACTTTTTCACCTTATGGTTTCAATATAATTAAGTCACAACCTCTGTAACTTGGCAGAGATTAAACTAGCCTACAGGACTACAGGTTTCGATACCAAGAGATGAACAGGTCCAGGGTAAGGCAATCAAGGACATATCAGGAAAAAGGAGTTGCACAAGTGGATGTTAAAAACCTCAAGACAAACCTGGCTTATGCCAAGGTTTTGCCCAGAGCCAGTGCCTAATAAACCCGTATTTCCAACATCTAACTCCTTGTACTTCCTCCTTTCTTACTTTCAATAGTGAAACTACTAACATTAGTACTAATGATATATAAAAACAATATTTATTTATACAGGACAATCTGCAAGAGTTGAAGACTTGAGAAAGACTTCTGAAGGGACAAGCGTTTGGCATAGTGGTTAAGATGTCGGTTAGGATGCCTGCCTGCTATCACAGTGCCTATATTCAAGACCCAACTCAGCTTCCAATCCAGGTAATGTACACCTGGGAGGAAGCAGCTATGGCCCAAGCACTTGGGTGCTTGCCACTCACATAGGAGACCTGGACTGAACTCTGGCGCCTGGCTTTGGCCTGGACCAGCTCCAGCTATAGTGGGACATTTGGGGACATGGGAGATCTTTCTCTGCTTTTCAAATAAAATGCAGAAAAAATAATAAGCCTTCTGAAGGCTGATTTAAGAATTGATTTTAACATATAAAAATGCACATTACATTTTAAATTATCCTAATGGGAAATTTCCTGAGCCCCCAAAACCTGAAAAACGAATTCTGTAAGAACAAAATTGAATGTGTAATCTGAAGACTTAAAAAAAGAACTTTAAAATACACCTGGAAAAAACTCATTTCCCTACATACTGGTAGTGTATGTGCAAGTTACTCACATAATCTACACAAGCAAAACACCCTGGGCCTGGCATGATGACACAGCGGACTAGGCTGCTGCCTGCAATGCCAGCACTGCATATGAGAGCCAGTTCCAGTCCAGGCTGTTCTACTTCTGATCCAGTGCCCTGCAAACGTGCCTGGGAAGGCAGCAGATGATGGTCCAAGAACTTGAGTCTCTGCCACCCATGTGGGAGACCTGGATGGGGTTCAGGCTCCTGGCTTCACCTTAGCCCAGACCCAGTCATTGTGGCCATTTGGAGAGTGAATCAGCAGAGAATCTCTCTCTCTCTAACTCTGCCCTTAAAATAAATAAATATTAAAAACAAAACAAAAAACCTCACCTGACAAGAGGCTGTACTCACATTCATCTGTTAAAATATTTTGTTAAATATGAAGAAAGCAAAGTTAAAATGTAATCACCATCTTCAATAGGTGGGACACATTTTTTATCCTTTTATTATTGTAAGGATAACAAAATCAGGAGCTTTGTTAGAGCAGATTAAGCTTAATAACCATACATAATTTTAAACGAGCTTTAATTATCCACTGGGATCTTCTGAATTCCTGATACCTGTCTGGAGATTACCTTCACTGCTGTTAAATGTTTAGGGTCCTCAAGGTGAGGGGCAGGGCTTTGTATGAACCTGCCCTCTTGGGGTGTTTATCTGAATACCTCAGCAGATGCAGAACAGACATCTGAGTAATGAGAAATGAGTAAATAAGTGAATGAATGAGTCAACTAAAAAGTTAAATGATAAACATCCTGCCTTTCTGGTCAGTTCAGACTGCCTCATGTCCTGATGCCAGGGACAGGGCTGGCAGCCTGGACTGCTTCCAATCTCACAGCCTGGTCAGCGGGGCTGGCAGGCCGTGGGAAAAAGGACGGAGAGAACATTCTTCCCAGCACACTGGTGGATTCTTCAAATTGCCCAA